AAGGGCGCCCCGCAGGGTGTCGAGGCCCCCCAGGGAAGGGAGGAGGCGGGCAGCGCCCAGCAGGTGGAGGAGGGCGCCCCGCAGGCTGCCGAGGTCCCCCAGGGAGGCGAGGAGGCGGGCGGCGCGGAGCGGGCGGAGGAGGCGAGCGTGGGGTGCGGCGCGCAAGGCGAGGAAGCTCAGGGGGAGCGCGGGGAGCCCGCGGCCCCCAAGGCTGAGGAGGAGGCGGAGCGCGGGCCCGAGGAGCCGGGAAGCAGCGCTCGCGGGGCGCCGCGGACCAGCGTGGACGTGGGGGGCCTGAGAGGATCCAGCATGGAGGCCGAGGGGTCCGAGGGAGCGGCACCGAGGGCCGAGGAGGTCCCCCGGGACGGAGGGGACCGTAGCTCTCAGTCCCACGTCCAGGCGACTGAGGCCGCAGCGGCGGAGACCGCGGATTGCACCCCCGGGGAACTTTGTGGGGAGCCCCAGGGCGCAGCGGTGGGCGCCGCGGAGGAAGCGGGGGCCCCGGGGGAAGAGGATTCAGAGGAAGCGAGCCCCGGGGACGCGAAGGCAGACGCCAGAGAGGCCGGGGACCAGGGGGCACCCCAGGAGGAGGAGGCAGAGGAGGAGAGGCCAGGCGAGGAGGCACCGCCCGACGGCAGCGCGGACCCGGCGGCGACCGCGCAGACCCGGGCCGCGGAGCCCGAGGGTCAGCTCAGCAACCACCTGGCGGCGGAGGGCAGCGCCGAGGACGCCGCCGAGGCCGCGCGCGTGAACGGGCGCGGGGAAGACGGCGAGGCGTCCGAGGAGGGGGCTCCGCGTCGGGAGCACGACATCACCCTCTTCGTGAAGGTAAGTCTCGCTCCCCCCACCCCGACTCTTAGGACGCCCCTCCCATCCGTAGTCTGGTCTTCTCAGGTGCAAGAGGGACGACGAGGTCCCTGCCCTAGGCGTCCCGATTGTCATCAAGCGCTTTTATCGGCGGGAGGGATGCGGGACAGCCTGGGTTTCACGGAGAACAGTTAAAGGAGCGTTTTTGGAACGCAAAGAGGTTGATTTGGGAGCCGAGGGGTGGGGGTGGGGGTGGCGGGAAGTCCGGACGCGGGGGTCGACATCTCACTGTCCTTTGTCCTGAAAATCCTAACTGGTCCTTCTAGTCAGGAGGTTATTAAAGAATTGACTTAAAAAGAAAAAAAAAAAAGTGACAAGCCCTATCGATGTTCAAAACAATTTCTGCCAAAGGAAGCTCTAATGCTTGGAGTGGGAAAATGCAGACAGGTAGGCTGGAGCGCGAGAAGTATCGGGGACTCATACGTATCCCAGAGGATCTTGTCAATGTTTTCAGCTCTCAAAAGGTATTCCATTTCGGTAGAGTCTATAAGGTATGTTTGGGAGGAAAGTGGAAGTTTCTTTAAGTATCATAATAATTTTTGAACATTTTAACATTTATTTTGGAAGAATGCAAGGGGCGGGTGGGTGACTTGCACAGCATCTGCCTTTCTGTCATATTTTCGGCCTGACTTCAAATGGGTAGAGAGGAATGATTTTGTAAGAATTGTAAGAGACACGACCGAGGAAGTTGAGAGCTTAAATAGGCATTTCTACAAGGCATCAAAAATAAGGTCCAGCAGCAGCTCACATGAGGATCTTTGTTCAAAAACCTCTTTGAGATCAGGAAAGCGGCAGATAATAAGGCCAAGAATGTGCATTGCATGTTAAATCATAATCCTTCCAAAATACTTTAGGTTTAGAGAAGCCAGTTACCACCTAAACCTCCTTGACTGAAATGTAAGCAAATTCTCATAAGCAAAAAAGAGAAATGTTCCCAAAGTGATTAATATCAGAATTACAAGAATTGTTTGGGTGACGAGGGAGTCAGGGAAGAGAAGGCATGCGTTTGCTTCTTCATGAGTGAGAAGGTGCTTTTCTGAGCATTTTTTTTTTAAGACCTTGGGGGCATTTTAAGGTTCTTTATTGGGATGTAAACTGGAGGCATAACTCCTGGGAAGGCCACTGGGAGCTGGAAGTCTGCAGGGAAGTTGGGAGAGGCAGAGAGCCGAAGCTGGATGCTGCTGTGTCTCGATGCTGCTGTGTGCGCCCCAGCTCTGCTCCTTGGTTCGAGACATCGCCATGTTCCGGCATGTTCCAGTCGCATGGTGATTCTAGCCTCTCGTTACACTTTTGAAATACAGTAACGGCTTCCCAGCTGGTCTTCCTGCTTCATTCCCTGCTCTTTCCCATCTAGTCCCTTTGTGACAGGTGGTGAGCTAGGAGAAAAGATCTGATCATTTCATTTCTTAGTCTAAAGTTCTTCAGTTGTTTATTACAGAGTTTCAGATAAATCCTCACTCCTTCGCCAGGCCACGAGGCCCTTCGTGATGTTATTCCTGCCTCCTTGGCATCACCTGGGTGTCCCCACCCTTTGTCACCCATGGTACTGCTGTCCTAGCTGTATTGAACTATACTTACTGTCCCTTGAGAGAACACATTTTTTTTTCCTGCCTTGAAAGGGTGACTTCCCCTTTATTCCTCTCCATGCCCCCAGCCTGGTTATCTGATATGTGTCCAAGATTCAGAGCAGGTATCATTTCCTTGGGGGAACCTTTTCCAACTCCAGTCTGGCTTGGGCGTCCCTCTGTTGAAGCTCCACTCACACGCAAGACGAACCTCTGCGTGCTCTGTCTCTTCCCTTGACTGTGTGAAATTATTCTCATATGTCTGGTGTGGCGCACAGGTCTGGAACGTGATGAAGGTTTGAGTGGTGACTGCCTGCATGAGGTAGTTTACTGTGGTGATCAGTATCACAGACCTTAGTGCTTGCAGGTCTGGGATCAAATCCTGGCTCTGCTACTTTCTCGCTATGTGACCTTGGACAAG